TTTGTAAATAGGGAGGACTGGAGGGGTTGAAGGGAGGGCTGGGCAAGGGTGAAAAATAAGAACCAAGAGAGACTATGTAAAGGTGCAAATTTCCAACCAATGATGAATGTCATTATATTGTATACCTAAAATGTACCAATGATTAGAATGAATAATCGAAAATGTAAAATAGGAAGGAAAGGTCCAAAGGGGTAGGGGTAGTGGGAGGGGCAGGGGAAAGGAAGGAAGGGAAAGGAAAAATGATGAGAAATGGAAAAAAATGGAAGTAAAGTCTTTGTAAATAGGAAAGGGTGGAGGGCATGAAGGGAAGGCTAGGCATGGTGAAAAAATAAGAACCAAGATGCATTATGTAAATGTACAAGTCCCAATGAGAAATGTAATTGTGTTGTATACCTACAATGTACCAATAAAAAAATTTAATGAAAAAAATAATAAAATATAACATTAGTTTAGAAGCATGATCACAAAATACAATGAATGTTGCTTCCTACTTCCATCCAAAAGAAAGGCCGAGCTCTTCAACATGAGAAGCAGTGCATCAAATCTTACTGACAGTGTGAAACAAGTTTCAACTTGTTCATTGCAGTCAGTCTCCTTTGAGCTAAGATTGAGAAAAGTGTGTTTTAATGTGTGCCATAAATAGTGGATCAGGAACAATGCAGTAATGTGAAATTTTGTCAGTTGCTATGGAGTTACATGATCATGCTGCTTCAGAGTCCAGCTTTTTAGGAAATGTGTTTATGTCATCGAGAATGAATCCTGGGCCTATGAATGATCCTGAAACCAATGTTCAGAGTTCTCAGTAAAAAGCAATCAGTTCTCCTCCAAAGAAAAGAGTGTATCAATTAAGGTCCAACAGCAAGATCGTGTTGCATTCTCTGGTCTGTATGGAATTTTGAGAGCAGAGTTTCTACCTAGGAGCACTACGGAGAGAACTCTGTAATATGATAAGTGCTCATTAAAGTGTTTCAGAAACTGGCAATTTCAATCTCCATCATGACAATGTTCCATGTCACACATTGCCTCTCTTATGACAGTTTCTGTTAAATGCAAACTTTAAGGTGGGTCCTCACTCAGCTTATTCATTAGATATGATGCTATGTGATTTCCTGCTCTTTCCCAAAGTCAAAATGATCATAAAGAGTAAATTACTAAACTGATTTGGGACATCAAGGCAATCATAACAGCACAACTAAATACATAAAAGGGGACTTCCAGAACTGGTTCAGAAAGTGCCAAGAATGATGGGATAAGTAGGTTCAAAGTGAAGGGGCGTATTCTGAGAGGATGAATGGCAATATGTCTTTTATCTTAGTTTTTTTATTTTTGGTACCAGGGATTGAACTTGGGTCCTTGCACTTGTGAGGCAGGTGGCAGAACCACTGAGCTAAATCCCTGGCCCTTTTTACCTTAGTTTTAAAAATATAATTACTCACTGTTTTTTTTCACATTGTGTATATCCCAATAAAGCCATCATGAGTTGACAATACATTGAAACTTCATTCTGTCAGGCCTGGCCTAAACCAACAGGACAAAGCAAACAGGCTGCTTTCAGCAAACAGCAGCTTCTCAGGAAACAGGGCAAATGGACTCAAAATGAAGTATACAACCCCCCTGGCACCGAGAAGTCCAGTATTGTCTACACACCTGAGCAGACCATCCTTGGGCATCCAAGTCATAAATATTTCACCCCAGAGTCCTTTGCCCCTTCAATACCTATACAACCCTACTTCCTTTCCCAGTCAGTTGCTAATACTTCTCTCTCTTGGCATCAGCCCATCTACTCAAGGATGAAAACTCTCCCAGCTAGCTGCCAATGTCAGCCCATCCACACACAGATGTGATAAACTCAGCTTTTCCCAGCTAGCTGCTAAATCTTCTGAATCTCCTGTTAATTGGAATAAACTTTCCTTTCAAAATCCCGTTTTGACAAGTGGATTCTTTATAACACATTTATAGCACTTAAGTTCCCCAAAATCACAGGCTAGCCTACCTTAAACATTCTCAGAACACTTACATTAGCCTGCAGTTGGTCAAAATCATCTCACACAAACACTCTTTTATAAGGGGCTAAATATCTCTCATAATTTATTGACTACCAAAAGAGAAAAATGATGGTTATGTGGGTATGCTTTGAAACATTTGATAATTGAAAAATAATACTTTGAACAATTTTGAACCAGAAGTAGAATAAGAAGGCAACAAAGGGACCCTCAGCAGTGTGTTTGGTGGACAGTACCTTGTGAGGCCGTTTGTCCAGCTGGACAACAGAGTCTACCCCAGAAGTAAACACATACACAACATGAAACTGAAAACAGTCCTTTAAATGAGGGTGACCAATTTTTTCTACTAGGAGCCCTAGGAACAAACCAGTCTCATTCTATCTCCTACACCAAGGACAAAGTTAGTCAAGGCCTTAATTGTGGTTTCCATGTGTGACACTAGGTGCAGAATATCAGGGATGCACATTTGTCTTGAAAACAGCAAATGCTCTGTGAAAAATGAAGTAGCAAAAGCCTATGTTTACCAGGGACTTATCAAGGTAAATCTGCACTATCCAGCAAGACATTGCTGTTGGCATCATTCCTGTTAGACACCATGGCAGTAATAGGTGGGGACCGGTGCCACTGACCATATCTCAGGTATTGGCAAGCAGGAGCTGGTATATGAGTGATTTCTAATACTGACAGTGAAGTGTTGTGTGCCAGACCAGAAGACTACTGTAGTGTTCAACATATTTACTTTATCCCCACATAGAGCACAAAGCATTACCATAGGGCCAGCATTCTACAGGATTAACAGGAATCACATTAAGACGGACAGAGACTCTTCATGTTGTGGCAAGGAAAGCCAACCCATGCCCATGGAAAACTACTAAATTATCCCCTACTGAGGATCTAATGCATGCCGTGTTTATCCATGTGTCAACTTTGGGAGTGTAGCATCTTGAAACACGGTTTGGACATGGACAGTCAAAAAGCTCAAAAAGCTCAAAGAGCAGGCATGCCAGACATTTAGGTAAGTTTATTAACATTTCCCAAGACCGTCATTCGAGTTGGCTCTAGAGTCAATGAAATCCCAACAGTATCCCAGCAAGTCAACCGGTGGATACAAAAAAACTGTTTCTGAAGTTCATAGAGTGGGGCAAAAGACCAGAAATATACAAAACATTATAGAAGAATTAGGAGAACCTTAAGCCCTTTTACAAAGTGGTAGCTTCAAGGCAGTGGGATGTCAGAGGAAGATTATCCACACAGAACAGAATAAAGAGTCCCAGAAGAACCACACACAGACAACTGATCTATATTTTGAAAAACAAAAGCAGTACAATACAATGGAGCAAAGATACTTTCAGCAAATGGTGCTATAACAACCAGACATTCACAGTCAGGCAGAACAACACTTGGGAAATGAGAGTCTCAGAAAAAGAAAAGAGGGAGACAAATACTTGTAGACATAATGGCTGAAAAATATCACATTTAATGTAAGACACTGATCTACAGATTTCCCCTTAAAATAGAAACAGGCATACCCCTCCCTAGCATTTCTCTTCCACATCACAATCAAAATGTGGAAAATCAAAGGACAATCTGAAAAGCACCAGAGAAACACTTCCCTTCATGAACAAAGAGATCACAATTACATTAATGGCGGATTTTCTATCAGAAACAATGAAAGGACAATGGTGGTAGCATATCCAAAGACATCTTTAAAATTTCAATTAAGGATTTCATATCCAGAGAAATCTGGAATTAATAATAAAGAATGAACATATTCTCAGACAATAAAGGCTCAAAAACTGTGCTCCCTTTGTAAAGTAGTGCTGCTTTACAAGAAAGGAAGGCTTTTGAATGGCAAAAATGGGCATATTCTTAGATTTGAAGATACTGGGTTGCTTTGTCAGGGTATCTTGTGTATGTGTATGTGTATGTAAAGAAGCTGTAAAATTTCTTTCACAGTTTTTCATTGACTGCAGAAGCAAAAATACTAGAATGTGCAAATCTATCCTTTGGAGATTGGTTTAAAATTTTATATGTGTTTAGGGTTAGGGTCTTGTGAATTTGTAGTGTGTTAATTTAGTTTTTTGGCTTGTGATTCTCTAGTTGAAGATAGCAAAATTAATTGGAAAATTATACAAAGCTTTTATTCAAAAACCTCAGAGGTAAATAAGTATGAAAGAAATTTCAGTTATGAGTAGGTGTAATGCAAAAACATTTTATGTGAAAAAGTTGAAGGTACAGAGAGAGAGACCTTGACAATCTCTATAAAATATCAACAACTATACACCTGACGAAGCTCAGACAGAGACCAAGGAAATAGTAATACCTGAGCTTGTGGGCATGGATGAGATGGGCAGACAATAGACGCATGTCTGTTCCTGACAGGCTGAGCAGGTGGATCGAGAAGGTGGGATGCAGAGGACCCAGGTGGGCAGGGACTCTGCTAGGTGCATGGGTGGGTGGGTGGGGAAGAGTGAGTCGGCCCTCTTTTGCCTGCTGCCCCTCCCCTCTGAAGAGTCCTTTGTGATGAGAAGACTAGAACTCTGTGAAGCAGGCCTGGGCCCTGCTACCTGTTTTGTAAGGGAATTCTCAGAGGTCAGTTGCCTGAGGGTGTGAATACACATCAGATGATGGAGACTCTTTTCTTTCTTCTGAAAACCATTCATGCCACATGTCTGAGTACCAGTTCCACTAGCTGTGTGATGGATATAATCTTTGCCATTGTGTGTGGACTGGTTCTTTTCATCCTATTAATCCCTTACCTTCAGATTAATCCATCCTTCCCACTAACTGAGAAAAAGAACATAAGAAAGGTAAGGAATATTTGGCCAAAACACTAGACAATGCTTCTTTTTTTTCCTTCATCCATTTTTTTTCACATCAAACAGAGAAATTTATGAGAGGAAAAAATCACAGGAAAGTTTAGGTGAAGTTCTAGGGCAGGGGACAGGGTTGAGACTGGGCACTGAAGCATCCAACTGAGACTCTCAGACCATCCATGTGGAGTTCTGGAGTTTCCAAGGTGAAATAAAACAAGGAAACATGGCAACCATCCCATGTTCCTGGGGCAGAGAAGGTGAGCCAATCCCAGTGGACAGGAAGAGGTTCCCCTGCCACCATTCCACACTCCTAGGGCAGAGAAGGTGAGCCAATCCCAGCAACCAGGAAGGGGCTCCACTGCCACCATTCCACTCTCCTAGGGCAGAGAAGGTGAGCCATGGGGATCCCAGAAGCAACACCCCCAACCTGTAAATGAGAAGACACATAAACAAGCCTCAAAAACAGACTTCCAGATCACCTACAGCAACCCCAAAGGGAAATGAGATAGAAGACTCTGATACTCAACCACCTGGATTCCCTGAACTGGCAACAAAAGAGGATCTGGAAAAAATGAAATCAGAAATAATTTCTCAGATAACAGAAAAGATTGTGTCCATAGTGCAAGTCATGATTAATAAATCTAGAGAGGACACAGATAAAAAAATAGAGGAGCTGAGGAACATGATGGAATCCCAACATAGGAAACAAATGGAATCCATAAAACA